GCAGCCGTGATGTTCTTCACTGGAACTGCTATGGGAAATCTGGTGGTAGGACACAGGATGGTTAGGATGTAGGCGTTACCTGAACTGGTCCGAGGTAAAGGACCAACACAGTCTATTATGAGTCTGTGGAAAGGTTCCGCAGGCACCTGTATGGGAATCAGTGGTGCTCTGGGAATGGAGACGTTCGGTTTGCCTGCCATCTGACATGTATGACACTGTTTTACGTACTGTTTGACGTTGTTTACCATACCTGGCCAGTAGTAGTCTTGACGAATCCCATGGTAAGTCTTGTTGAAGCCGTAGTGGGAGAATGCTCCGTGGGCCAGGTGTAGAATAGTGGGCCGCAGGCTGGTGGGAATCACAAGTTGTTCGATGTTGGCCCAATCGTCCTCCTCCTTCAGTTTACTGGGTCTATATCTGCGGTAGAGCAAGTCGTTCTCTAGGAAGAACCCAGGAATACTGTCGGGTTGAGTCTCAGCCTGGAAAAACAATGGTGTTAAAGTAAGATCTTCCCTCTGCAACTTACGGAACTCCAACTTGGTCAGATGCGGGGGTAGTTTCTGAGGGTCTTGAGGGACAGCGGTAGCAGTAGAGTCAGCTGGCTGTGGACGTGCGGCTTGTGCACGGGTGGTCACGAGAACCGGAGGAGAAACTTCATCACTCTCTTGAACCTCTGCTGGAACATACTCAAGAATAGGATTTATTGGCACAGAGTTACACACCTGGGGTTTGTCCATGACGATCAGGTTGGTCGGTTGCAGGTCTTCTGCCAAGTCGTTGCCTAGGAGAAGTTGCACTCCAGGCATGGGAAAAGGCTTTTCCCTGACGGCGACTTGGACTTCCCCGTTCACGTAGGGACAATTCAGGTGGACTCTGGCGAGAGGGTATGGAGTGGTAGCAGTGAGGTCAGTGATGAAGACTGTTTCCCCGGTGTAGACTATGTTGGGCACAGCCGACTTCAAGATGATCGATTGTAGAGCCGCTGTGTCCCTCAAGATCTTCAATTTGAAACGTCCCTCCGGATTTGAACCGTTGGCAGAGACAGTTCCAGTATACAGGTGGTTACTGAAAAGAGAAAGATCATTAACATCAACACCAACATTCATCACAGGCTTACCGGACTTAGGAGGAGTTGGTTTGGGTCGTTGTTGGTCAGTGGTTCCCTTGTATTGAGACTTACCACACTTGTCTATGGTATGTCCATAGAGTCTACAATACTTGCAGTACAGTTGTGAACCAACTTGATCGGGGCTCACCTTCTCGTAACTGTACCACGACTTCTTACTGGAGGATGGTTCAGGTGTCAGCCGGTGGATGAGGCTGTAAGTGTCAGCCGACTTAGCACACTTCAGGTAGTCGGTTTCTTCTTTATCTGCTAAGTAGAGGCGGACAGGAGGCGGCACACGTCTCAAGAATTCTTCAACAAGCATCAGGTTGACGAGTTCTGTAAAAGTAGAGACATGTGCTGCTTCCAGCCATTTCATGAAATACCTCCGTTTCGTGTTAGCAAACTCGAGGAAGGTAGTGGTACTTGCCTTCAGGTGGTCACGGAATTTCCTTCTATAACTTTCAGTAGAGAGGAGGTAGGCGTCCAACACTGCTTGTTTCAGAGTGTAGTAGTCATTCTCAGACGCCAAAGTACTGAGTGTGACTGCAGCTCTACCTGTAAGATGGACTCTGAGAAGTGTGGCCCATTGGTCGACAGGCCAACTGAGTTGATTAGCAAGGGTTTCAAAGGTGGTAAAAAACACATCAACTTCTGCTTCTACAAAGGATGGCATTAACTTACTTGCATGTGATATATTAAAACTGACGGGAAGATTGGCAGTAGCTTGCTGGCGTTGAGTGAAGTGTGAAGTTTCCAAGGCGATTTCGCGTTGACGACACTCTAGAGCCAGAGTCGCTTGTTGTTTGTCATGTTCGCGTTGCATCTCCAACTCTCGTCGTTTGGTTTCAAGCTGTACTCGTTCCCGCTCCTGGAGTGTTTCAAGCTGTACTCGTTCCCGCTCCTGGAGTAGTGCAACCTCACGTTCCTGGAGGGCGAGTCCGCGTTCTTGTTCTTCTCTTCGTATGGCAGCAGCTCGTTCTTGTTGTTCGAGGGCTTCCCTTTGCTGCTCACGTTCAATCTTGGCCAGCTCTAGTTTGAGTTTCAGCGTTGCCAAATCAGTTTTATCTGCAATATAGTAAGTTTCATGAGTTTCAGAGTCTATCTTACCTTGCTCTAAATAGTAATCCAGCAACAGGTTGTGTAGGTCATTTTTGTTGGCTTGGTAGGGAACTTCTAGTTGATACTCATGTGCAAGAGTTTGTAGTTCAGTCCTCTTGGCACGACTTAAAGTCCCTATTTCACCTGCTGGATTTGCACGGAAAGTTTGGAGACGAAACATGGTGAAATTAGCAAATAAAGGTACACGAATGTTCAATAATGAAATGTCAGAAACAGGACAACGTGGCAACTGGTACCTATCCTGTGTGATCTTTAACAATTAACGTTAAGTGAAAGATATTAAATGATTAAATTAAATCAAGGGCGCAGGAAATCTTGTACCCGGTACTCATGTAAGAGAATAAGGGCAAGAAAATCCTACTAACAAATGAAACAAAGTTTCGAAAACAAATGAAACAGTTAAATGCTTCAAAAGTAAAATTGGTAGTCCAAGGATGTAGGCATACCTTGCCAAGTCTCTATAGGACATAAAGCAAGTTTTTCCTACTGAATTTAATATGATACTTACAGAATTAGCGAACTTTTGTGCTCTGAAAAAATAAGCTAATTCCCTACCGTTGTATGTATCACCATCTCTGACTGACGTGTAGGGGTGCGAGGTGTCAACTGGTGACGAGAACTGCTGCTGAGGTCCCAATTCAGCAACTAAAGTTCGAGCTAGAGGAACTATGGCCCTCTTTATCCTCCTACAGTCAGATTGCAGAAGATTGGGTACTCTTGACCCGGGGCAGACCACAGTACCAGGGTACCAATATGATGATCTGTCAGAATGAGAAATATTCAAGGGACATAGATGGTAAATACGAGTAATAACATGGAGGGAGAGATGACCAATTAAGAGTATGACTGAGGCCTACAGTCACCACGTAATCCAAAGTTGTCTCACCTTCACTATATGTTACTCTCGTAATGCACAATACACCGCACCTTATAAAAAATGAAATTGAATGAAAAATAGTAAAGCTACGTTAACAAAGTTAAATACGCTTACCATAAATTACCACTTGACACCAGTACCTGAGTGAAGCTCCTAGGACAGGCCCCCATATAACTTGTGACGGTAACGCGTTGGTGTTCGGCTGTTTAAGGCTAGGGGTATGGCCTCGTCACATAGTTATAAAAAAAAAATAGAAAAAACTGGAACTTCGTCTGTGGTAACGTAAGGAGAAGACACACAAAACACAAGTAAAACTTTAACAATGAAATTTTAATTACGTTAAATAAATCAAAACATGAAAATAATGCACAAACAAATATGTATAATAAAATCAATCAATCAAAATAATAAGAATACTTAAATGACACAATGAAAAGTTACGTTAAGGCAAAATAACAAGAAGTGCAACACAAAGGTAAGTGGGAGGTGCTGGAATATTGGCTTAAAGCCACCACCTCTCTCAGTACACGCTAACGTCTAGCTGGGAGGAGTGCTGGCTACGAAAGCACTGAACATTCTGAGGACTGATGTTGGGGCGACCCCAGACATCAGGTAGTATTGGGAGGGGGGCGAGGCAGGTGCAGCCAGACCGGCGACCAATCAGCGGAGCCGTAGCGATCAACGGGTAGTTTGGTGGTTGGAGTTCGAACAGGTGGCTGGCTGCATACGTTTTTGCTCACCCTGGCAAGCCTTGCTGGTGTTGTTGTCGTTGTTGGACATTTCTTCCATAGTCTTTTTATATAATTGTGAAGACGTAATTATGGAGGGAAGAGCAGGCTCAATCTCTTGAAGGAGATTATCGTCACAGATTCCATAGGCTTCCACTGGGAGTGCTTGGGAGACCCTTCCCGCCCTCAGGAAGGGTCTATAATAAGCAAGTGAAACTATAACTGGTGGATTTCTTGAAATTATATTTAAGGTCACAATATAGTGAAGAAGCCGGTTCAAATTAGAGATCAGCCCAAGCTTCGTCTTGAGGCAAAGCTCAACGCCTTAAGCCATATTGATGCTCTGTCCACAGAGCATTCTCTCTCTCAAATTATATACACTGATGGTTCCCTACACCGCACCACGGGTGCAGCTGGAAGTGCAGTTGTCCTGACAATGGGCGATGGCCTATACTTTGAGTGGGGAGTCCGTATAAACAACTGGGCCTCTACCCTTCAGACTGAACTATTTGCCTTGATCCTTGCACTGAAATGTGTACAAGTCTCAAAACTTGATACATTAATTGTAAGTGACTCCTTATCATCCTTAAATGCTCTCAACTCTTTAAGACATAACTGTAACATGCTCGTGTCCGAAGCTAGACACAAATACAACAAAATTATTAAGGATGGTAACAGAGTCCATTTCATGTGGTCTCCATCTCATGTTGGCCTCCGAATGCATGATAGAGCTGATAAGTTAGCCAAAGAATCTGCCTTTAAAGGAGCCGTTGAGTGTAACCTTGGATTGTCAATGAGCAATCTGAGAGCAGCTGTACACCGAGAACTTCAACAAGATCTTGTAGGTCTGAGGCAAAGTGAAATTGACACCAGTAATTCCATCTATCATCATACTATCATGCAAGAGGAGCCACACATCTATGGATCATCCAATAAAATCAGCAGACTTCTAGATGTTACTACTGCTCGGCTTAGACTCGGTTACAAGTATCTCTGGGAATTCTCATTATCTGCTGATGTAGACCTGACCAAATGTAAACTGTGTCAACAAAATTATTCGCACACTCTCCGTCACTATGTGATGGAGTGCGAAAAGATACGTTTATAATTGGTACTTACGTGAGGCCATCATATACTGAAAAGAGGTGGTTTAATTGATGCGACGATATTAAGATTATGTTTATTGAAAGCCTAAGCACAAAATACAATTAATTTTCCTTTCTAAACACTTATGAGGTAAATGAGTCGAAGTGTTGAACATTTATTCCATACACCCGTTATATAAATGTAAAACTTATCTAAACTTAGATCAGTTAGTGTACTTTAGTTATGCACGGACAAGACAAAACGTCCATTATAAAGTATGATATACATACTTTATTACTAAGTAATATATATATTTATATTAAAGTAACAGCATAGAGCGGTTGTACCTAAGAGTGTGTTAATAAAAAAAAAATTGTCGGTCGTTATTGGTAATCCTATATTACTTTATTACATATAAGTGTGTCGTACGATATCATGTTGTCTTAAGTTGGAGTGGGCCGAGGAAGCTTCATCTGCGTTTAGCCAGTTGGAGGTCGAGTCTTGATAATAGGCAGCTTGGGAAGTATAGCAGGCAGCTTGGGAATTGTTAAGTTCCCAGGGTTTGTAAAGTTCCCGGGGAATGTAAAGTTCCCGGGGAATGTAAAGTTCCAGGGGAATGTAAAGTTCCCGGGGGATGTAAAGTTCCCTGGGAATGGAAAGCTCCCCGGGAATGTAAAGTTCCCCGGGAATGTAAAGTTCCCTGGGAATGGAAAGCTCCCCGGGAATGTAAAGTTCCCCGGGAATGTAAAGTTCCCTGGGAATGGAAAGCTCCCCGGGAATGTAAAGTTTCCTGGGAATGGAAAGCTCCCCGGGAATGTAAAGTTCCCCGGGAATGTAAAGTTCCCTGGGAATGGAAAGCTCCCCGGGAATGTAAAGTTCCCCGGGAATGTAAAGTTCCCTGGGAATGGAAAGCTCCCCGGGAATGTAAAGTTCCCTGGGAATGGAAAGCTCCCCGGGAATGTAAAGTTCCCTGGGAATGGAAAGCTCCCCGGGAATGTAAAGTTCCCTGGGAATGGAAAGCTCCCCGGGAATGTAAAGTTCTTGGGTAACCCGGGGAAGAGTGGTGAGATTGGAGGCTTCGGGAAAGGGTTCGTTTGTGGCAGAGCGAAGACAGCCGCCACAAGAAGGACCCCTGACAGTATCAAGACCTTCATCTCGGAGCAGGAACACTGTGGGCACAGAACACACACACATTAGTCTCCCAAAAGCCGAAGAACATATAAACATTAGCAAGATAAATGATTAACTGAAATTAAAGAAATGCGAAATTGCTTGGTGGTGACCAGGACAGCAATCAATCGCTCTTGAAAGTTACTCACTCTTCAATAAAAATCTTTGGTGAATTTAATGCTTTTGTCATAACATGTTTTATGTCTTTTTACTCTTTTATGATATCTAGTTACCCCTGTGTCAGGCTTCTAGGCCTGGCGTTTTCTCTTAATAATTACTTACAGGCTCTCACATACAGACTGACTAAACAAACGAAGAAGTGTACACAGTGAGCATAGATTGATTGATTATTTTTGTGCATAGAAGTATGCAATCATAACATTTTAGCCCTGATCTTAGTAAAGTTTAATTTCACAAACCCCATACAAATCGTAATTTTTCAATTATGAAACTGATATACAAAATCCGGTATCTTTATATCCCTCATTGAACGCCTAATACACAACATTTTCTCACTTAGGGTGCCAGTGAATGATGTTATTATTATTACACCTGCAACTTGCATATTTAAATTCTTAAGAATGCTGCAGGCTCTAGCACTTCTCTGTCACCTATGCACTCGGTATCTTTTAATCTTGAACTATTAGACACTGTAGCAGGACTTACTGACACTACACGAGAAACAAGTATATCTTTCATGTACAATGAACGTGATGTATCTGAGAAAACACCTGAGGCCGTACAATGGAATCGAACCCGCGTCCCATTGTACGGCCTCAATATCTCTTATACCTTTGTTGTTCCATCATCAGTTCTTTCTCCACACCTTGCTTCACCCAAAGCTCAAACGCCATGTATATAAAGGGTTAGCAAACGTTGTCGTTGTCACCATTTGGTCACCACTTAGTCCGGGAGACATCTCCCGTCACGCAGGGTGCAGTTGCGCCTCCACAGATCTCCAGTATCATCTTTTAATACTGGTAATGGCTCGAAAGGGCCACCACTTACGGGCTATTCATGCCCGTGCCACCTCTTGGGTGGCTTAATCTTCATCAATCATCAATCTACTCATCCACGGGAGACATTTCCCGTCACGCAGGGTGCAGTCGCACCTCCACAGATCTCCAGTATCATCTATTGATACTGGAAATGGCTCAAAAGGGCCACCACTTATGGGCTATTCATGCCCAAGCCACCTTTTGGGTGGCTTAATCTTCTCTCTCTCTCTCTCGTTGTCGTTGTTTGGTTAAAGGCCACGATGGCAGGTTGCCCCGGCATTCCCTTGGAGAGTAAAACGCAAAGCTTTGCGGCAGTATACAATTTGCCGTCAGCGAAAACTAACGCGCCTTAAGACAGATAACGCACTCTACCAGGAAGCAGTTGGAGCTCAGTGTATAATTAATGAAACTTTGAAGTTAATGTAAAATAGTTCAATGCGAAATAAATTAAATGCATGTTATGTCTAGCATTAGATTCATATTGAGTTTTGTTACATATAAAACACTCACAGCAGCTGGGTTAAGCCCTGGCACTACTCGCTTCGACTACAACACCTCCACTCCAGCTGTCCCCACTCGCCCATTTGGGTTCAAGTAAGTTGATTTAAAAACGAGTTGCGTCACGTGCTTTTCGATAGTCCCTACGAGGACGCAAGAAATAAGAGCTGGGTGGTGTATGACCAGCGAGGGACTCACCTGAGCTGGGCTGAAGAACAGAGAAGCGCTGGGATACCTGGCCGTCTGTGTCTCCTTCAATACCTGCCCGTGTTTATATACGATTGCGACTGCAGTAAGAATACCCATGCTGCTGGGCCTATGTACCCATGCTGCTGGGCCTATATCAGTGAAGGGTCTATACTTCACTCACTGCGAACGAGGGAAAAATTGCTAGTTAGTCATAATCCTCCCGGCTTGGTATATTTTAATAATCACTCAGAGGGGTACTCATCATATCTACAGTCACGTTATTGTGACTCATCGTCTAGCCTTCTATGTTTTATTTGGTAATAAATTATCAAATTAACCTAAGAACTAACAGTCTCCAAATTAGCAACAGAGTAGATGGTAAATTCCTTAGTGTTCTCATTGATAACAAGTTGAATTTCGAGTGCCATCTATTAAATATAGCAAAAAAGTGTAATACAATTGGCATTCTTTCTAAAATCGGATACTATCACATATAGCATTAGTAGCCGTGTCCATATCATCATGCTGGTCAACGCCTGTTTGATGGTAACCATACAAAGGAGATTCTGAAACATTTGCTCTATGTATTAATTATAAGGTTTATAATGAATGTTGCAACATTTTTAGTATCTATTTTGCACTTTGGGTTTTCACCTGACTTCGAATCACAGAAAATTATTCCTCCAGTATCTTTCACCAATTACTTTTGCTATCGCTGTTAATATTTCAACAACTGTTGCCTACTACTACTGTTACTATTCTACAACTGTTATTATTCTACTACTGTTACCATCTGTTGTCATTACTACTACACAGTGTTTGTTATTATTTCTCACCAGTCAGATTGTAGGCTATATTTATCTGTTTATGTCTAAAAATATAAGTTTGATTTACACAGGGGTGGACGGTAGAGCGACGGTTTCGCTTCATGCAGGTCAGCGTTCAATCTCCTACTGTCCAAGTGGTTGGGTACCATTACTATCCACCGTCCCATCCCAAATCCTCATCCCTTCCGAGTGCTATATAGTTGTAATAGCTTGGCGCTTTCTCCTGATAATTCCCTTCCTTTCCATAGTTACCTATTTACTTCTAGGTGAACAGGGACATCAGGTAAAAGATAAACGAGCTCAAACGGCTCTGTCCAGTTGGGGGACACAAGCCCTGGACCTTCCAGTTGTAAACAAACTGCACATGACTCTCCAGTTACATTGGCAACACTGTGAATTAAAAAAAAATAGACTTTTACACAAGTCACACCTCAATGTCAAGGGAAACATTTCCAATAAGTATACTCATCAGTGGACTGCATATATCGCCGTTTCACGCTCCCATGAGTCCCTCAAGGCCAACCCTAAACATATACCCACCATCCTGTGCATCATAATTTCATTCCCCCCCCCCCCTCCCCATTCCCGAATATCCTACAATATAGTTCACCAAGGGAAATTACATACTTAACACGCCACTCCACTTGCAAACCGTAATCAAGTGAAATCAATAATGTCATAAAATCAATAATATCACAAACTTCTTTATAAATGTGGGTTATACAAATCATCTATGAGTAGACTCTTTTAAATTCATTATTGACAATATTATTTAGTGTGTGGGGGTTGATAGTATTGTCAGCAAATAGTATACGTTTAATAGTGTTAGAAACATTTGGCAAATCATTGATGTATATAAGAAATATGAGATATCCCAAGATGCTGCCCTGTGGCACTCCTACTGTTAATGGTAGACAGGGGGGGAAAGGTTATGCTATTGATGAATACATATTGGTGTCTGTCTCTGAGATAGGAACGAATATAGCCCAGAGCAAGGCCTCGGATACCATAGTGGTAAAGTTTAAGTAAGAGGTAGCTAGGATTTACAGTATCAAAGTGTTTTCTGTATCTTTCCTCACATTGTTTCTGCCTTACACCCACGTAGCGTCCCACGTGATAGACCTTGGCCCACTTGATGAATGGAGATCCCTCTCCTACTGTTATGAAACGCCTCTTCCTTGAACATTTTTCCTCACATTCACATTCCATTGCATTGTTCACAGATGGGTGTAAGTCTGCCGACAGTGTTAGCCACTCCGTTCTTTTTTCTGACCAAACGTTTATGTGCTGCCTGCCTCTAGAGACTGACATCTTCCCTGATGAAACCTTATCCTATGTTGTATGCTCTTTGTCAGCTGCTTTCTCGTCATCATTGTGGTTGATTCTCACAGTGCCTTCGTGGTTCTCCAGTTTTTTGAACGCTTTTACATCCTGTGGTGGTTGAAATCCAGTGCTTGCACTTTCATATTTCTAGCAGATTTAAAACAGTCGAATTTTGCTGGGTGCCCAGCTACATTGGAGTCGTCTTATATGAACTTATAGACATCACCACGATGGAGACCATTCATACTTTTCCACATTTCCCCCAATAAAAGGATTCCTTATGCTGCTTTTTCACAAATTCATTCATTCCGCAGTCCGCGGTCACTGGCAGGGTCGTTGGTTTGACAACACGGGTACCGGTAACGAACCTCGCTCTCTTAAACCTGACCTATTCCCATGGCCTTAGTCCTGACACCTTAATTTTTGTTCTCGTATTACCATCCTGAGTGATATTTAGCCCCTTCTGAATATCCAGCAACACAGACGTATTACTTAATCTTCCTGGTTTGATGCCTTCTTTCAATAAAATAAATGAGATAGGCAAATAAATAAAGAACTATGAAACTAACGGTGTTGCTGTAGATAAATAACCCATCCCATACATATGAAATAAAAAGAAAAGGACGGATATAATGATGATGCTGATTTTCTTGTATCCAAGCGAAGCTTGATATAATTATGACGCTGTAGGCTGTCTTGAACTCAAAGATAAACACGACTGTGTACGCAGGAGACTATTTAAGTGGTTGGCCAGGGAAAGTTTAATGTTACTTGCAGATATTTATTGAAAGTTTAAAACAAAAAAGGAAATAAAACCATTAACCAAAGAGTATGCCTTCAAAGGAGTTGATGATAACCTTGGATTGCATATAAGAACAACGTGAGAACAGTAATACATCAATAAATTTAATAAAATTTTGTAAATCACAGACAAATTGCAATTTACATTGTTACAATTTGCACTAGCTGTTCCAACTATCACTACACTATCATGCAAGAAGAACCACATATTACCACGTTAACGATTGTGATTTCTTAAGATTTCATGCTTATATGTACGTAAAGCATAACATATTAGGCTGGATATCGTTATCTGTGGCACTCCAGGTGTGAACTCTATGAATGAAGTGTGCTTTTAATTCATTAATTTATTCTCCCGTACTAGAAGATCATAGTCTACTTGAAGTTTTTTAGAATAGGCTATTAGATTGAGAGGTTAGTTGAACATGGCTAGCTTTTGATCTGAATTCTGAAATTCCCTTGGTGTAGATTAGGGTAACAGGTAGACCAACGTGGGTGTATCTGTGTTTGATAATAAAACAAACAAGGTATACATGTGGATCGCCATTAATGTTATCCTTGAGCTGTATTGTTGGTCCCACTAATCACTGGGAGGTTTTGGTTTGGTCGAGTTAGTAGATCTTGGTGGTGGTGGTGGTGGAGGCCCTGACAGCGTCGAGTTAGTGGTTCCTGTTGGTGGAGGCCTTGGCAGCGTCGAGTTAGTGGTTCCTGTTGGTGGAAACCTTGGCAGGGTCGAGTTAGTAGATCCTCGTGGTGGTGGTGGAGGAGGCCCTGACAGCGTCGAGTTAGTGGTTCCTGTTGGTGGAGGCCTTGGCAGCGTCGAGTTAGTGGTTCCTGTTGGTGGAGCCCTTTGCAGGGTCGAATTAGTGGTTCCTGTTGGTGGTCGTGGTGGCGGAGGCCTCGTTTGCGGCAGAGCGAAGGCAGCCGCCGCAAGAAGGACTACTGCTGGTATCAGGACCTTCATCATGGAGCAGGAACACTGCGGACACAGAATACTCACATTAGTCTCTTAAACTCCGAAGAACAGAAATATGAGCAGCCTAAAGGAATCTCCTTTATAAATCCTGAATGTTGAACGTCACAGTTGTAATTTAACTCTAGTACAGCTAGAGCTTGAGAAACACAATTAACAAGCTATTGGAGGCGGCAACAATCAATGCTCTGTTTGGTATCATACCAGGTTAATTGTGTTTATTACTATCCTACTCATGGAAACTGATAATAAATGTTCTCTAAGACCAAAAGCCTAATATATTGTCTAAATATGTTAACAAATAAAATAAGGTATGTCTGCATAACAATTCCTGCTGGTATGGTTAAACTTTAGTTGATAACCGAAGAAAAAGTTCACTTAAACAGTTAAAAGTATCTAAGTGGAAGAACTTTGTTTATCTTAAATTTGGAAGGATAATATTTAGTTAACTGATTTAGACGTTGAGATGTAAGTCTCGTCCTAATCACACACACAGACCTTAACAAAGCACTCAGGAGAGTGGGAAAGACTTGGTGTAAGTTCCTTACATAAATTTTACAAATACACAAGTGGTTTTACATAAGTGCTACTTAGAATTCTGTCGAGAAGCAGATGGAGTTCACAGTGTATAATTAATGAAGCTTCGAAATAAAAGTAAAATGGTTATATATGGAACAATTTCAATTAATAAATCTCTAAATAATATAGGTGAAATCAACAAGCCAGCAGGAGTCACTGCTGGGAGGGATTGACCGACAACGTGCAGTTTCCACTGAGAAAATAATGACAAAGTCACATCTGACTCGGTACCTTTGTAGGAAGTGAGAATACTGTAAGTTCAGTATAAATGTATGCGTAACTTGGTACCTTCAGAGAAACTAAGGTTCTCAGAAATTCTCTGCTAAGACAGGTTTGACCGTGGTAGCCTATCTTTGTAGGAACTGAAACTCTCAAAGTTGAGTGTAAATGTGTACAGTTCTCTCTTGCTGGAGTTAGTCTACTTGTCATAACTGTGGTCATTATGTTTCCAAATGGTATATAAAGTATATGTCTAGCATCAAGTTCATACTAAGATATATTTGGTAAAAACAAGAGTTGCGTCACGTGCTTCTCCATAAAGTCTCAACTAGGACGCAAGAAATAAGATCTGAATGGTGTCAGACCAGCGAGGGACTCACCGGAGCTGGGCTGAAGAACAGAGGAGCGCTGGGATACCTGGCCGTCTGCGTCTACTTCAGTACCAGCCCGGGTTTATATACGGTCGCTGCTGCGTCAGTAATAAGGGTGCACCTGTTGTGGGCCCCACCTGCCTTCGCTCACCTACACTAATATGGGTAAACCTGCAACTGGACCCATTATTTAGAGTCAAACTAATAAGAGTACGCCACCTGCTGGGCCCATATCTACCCCTCGCATACAGCATTTACTAATCAGAGCGGCATTTACCGTGTTCCCGAAAATGACATATTCTCGCCATCAGCCTCACTAATTACATAAATATTGTTGGTGTGTCAAAAAAAGAAAATTTAAATGAAGGAACATATATAAATAATTTGCTTTACGTAAATGAAGAACATAACCTATTAATAGCAGTTATTTTTTAATAACCTGAACAAATTACATAGGAAATGTTGAATCCGTTTCGGAATTGGACTAATGTCGAGTGTCTTAAATAATATATTACGCGGCCAATGCGAGAAAATAGCGTTAGACTTGATGTTAATGACACGTAGACACTACTAATTCAGATAAAAGTAAGGACCGAGTTATATGAAAAAGCTGGTTTAACATTACATGGGAAATGTTACCATTAAAATTAATTGAGAAATTACTTTAGGAGGGCAGATTACTCTAACCCGAGAACTAGAGGATCAGTGATGATAAACCTTTTACAGGTGACCTGATACATCAATACGCATTATGCTAAGAAATAGTCCCACTTTCTTTAATTCGCTACATCTCAATACCCTGTCAAAAGGCCAACAAAAGGTCAGATGTAACATAGACAAGGAACAATGGTTTCAAGCTCAACAAGCCACAGTGTAGGACTGAGAATAGGAGATGCTTCTTCACCCACAGGGTTATAATCCATGGAACTGCCTACCCGCTGAAGCCGTAAATGCCAAAACTCTTTTAAATATTTAAATTCAACTGGAAAAGATCATTAGGGCAAATGGAGGGACTTTTGACATGCCACCGGCTTCCTGTCCTCGTCGAGGTCATTACTATTAGTGACCATCAGGTAAATTCGGGTAAAAATGTAAATGCAAAGACAGTAACCTAGTTAAAAATTCAGCAGAAAAAAAAATCCTCTTGGAAGAATGGGAGGAACTTTGACAAACCGCCTACTTCCTGTCTCCGTCGAGGTCACTAGAGATGATGGTCCTCAGGTAAGTACAAATGCATATGTGACAGTCGTGGGCGTGACAGGTGCACGCTCTTCCTGGGGTTCCTTCAAGGTGCTCCCTAACGTCTCTATACCGTCCTCGTTCTACGGGCTCACCATAGCCCGTGCTACTTGGATTTTTTCTTCCATGTAGCGAATCTTAAACAACAACGTCTTCGTACCTCCCTCCCTCCTTCCCCAGTATCCTACTCCATCGTTAACCAGGGCAAGTTGAATACTAAACACTCACTTGTAAACTATAACCAAGTGAAATCATTAATAGTATACATAACCAAATTTCTTAGTCTTCTTCACCAATGAGTGTTATGAAAAAGTTATAATCAATGGCGTGTATTCCTAATTGTCGTTTCTGGTAGAATCTAAAGTGCCTTCAGGTCCTTCCTGGGACGTGAAAGACAATTGCGTTCGTCTCTGATGGGCCAGGGTAGTGTTGTCTGACTTCTCTTCATTTTGCCTAAGCCCCCCAACCTTATTTTTTCTGCCTTGACATAACCCATTTTCTTCTTATAAATAATAATAATAGTAATAATAATAATAATTCCTTTTATCGAGGGACAGTGCAGCCAGTATACATATATACTGTACATATATACATATTTTATGCTTATTGATGGGGACACAAAAGTTTATTTAGTTTATGTACGAGGGCATTATTATATTATCTGTTACATTCAGTATCTCAAAAATTGCTATTAATGGTAATTTGTCTGCCTTATATTTCTATATATAAATACAAATTTGTAACTAAGGGGTTTCCTTTAGCTTCCCCTTCTGCATGCTATACCTCTAGTAATGCATGCAGAAGGCATGGTATAGGATGTATAGCATGGTATAGTCTAGTATAGCATGCATGCTAAATCACTATACCTCTAGACAAAATTAATTGGTGAAGAGTATTAAGTGATAATACCCTAATTCAAAAGGGGTTGAGCTCTATCCACTCGGAATTAAATCCTTATGAACGGGCAAAATAATAATTATTTGTAAAGCCGTTTGAAGACCACGATAATACTACAGAGACAAACTTATATAAAGTTCGTCTCCGTTTGTAAGAACATTGAATGGATGGTCACTCCTTTTGTGGACGAGTCATATTCAGGTAGTAGAAAGTGGCGCTCACTTGCCGTAGATTTATATGTACCAGCGGTACTTGGAGCGTTGCAATATCCTAAAGGTTATCCAATATATAAAGATATCCTCACAGTATACCCAAAATTTGCCAGTGCAGGCTATTAAACACATGGCTTTGTATGACTAACCATCCTGCGAGATGGGGACTTGTATTACCACTGCCACCTTATTCGATCTTGTGTTGTTGATATCCTCAAAAAGCATCCGGAGTCTGCCAGTGCAGACCGCTTATCACATGCCTCTGTATGACTAACCATCCTGTGTGATGGGGATTTTATAGCTTCACCTAGTTAGCTTTTTTGACACACTGTACTCCACTTCATATAGTCTAGGGTAGCTGCACTAATGCAGATGTACCTAATATGTTAATAAAAAAAAAAGGAGCTTTGCAATTAACTTATTCACTCTCGTGTTATCTTGGGAGTTTGTGACTGTAGAGTATATTCATGACATTATTACATCAGAGCGCGTGACCTAGGATGTGTAGTATATAGTCTTCAGTCAACTATATATATAACCCCTTCTCACCTTCACTCGGCGCCTGCCTCACTAATGTGAGTACTCCTGCCACGGATATACTCAGCGTCTTCCAAGACATTTCAATTTGCTACTCCATCTAGAACACCAGAACACCAGCCTTCCGCGAGAAACATTATCAAATGCTTTTTGACAGTCTTGAACTATATAGTCCACCACCCTGTAATGATTGGTATACATAGTCTGACTTTTGTTATCGTTATTCCAAATGTTTCTCATAGTTAAAGTACCAGTTTGTTTTAGTTATATTAATTTTTATGTTTCATTTGTAAGTGTCTGCATGTTAAATGAGATTTAGTAAATGTATATACCTTGGATGTATGTAAATCTTGAGCGCGTGTTATAGTGAGGATAGCGTGGTTATAGTGTTATAGTGAGGACATGAAGCTGGGATATGTGGACAAGGAGCTGGGATATGTGGACAAGGAGCTGGGATATGTGGACAAGGAGCTGGGATATGTGGACAAGGAGCTGGGATATGTGGACAAGGAGCTGGGATATGTGGACAAGGAACTGGGATATGTGGACAAGGGGCTGGGATATGTGGACAAGGAGCTGAGATATGTGGACAAGGAGCTGGGATATGTGGACAAGGAGCCGGGAATAGAGAACGGGTGAAGAAACCGCTGCCGCCACTGCTTCCGCTGTCGCTGCCACCGCCGCCGCCACCACTGCCCCTGCTACTGCTGCCACCGCTGCCGCCGCCGCCACCACCACCGCAAGTACCTTTACCAGCGCGGGCCACGGCTGTGACACAGCAGTGTGGAGGCTGCTGTATCTCTTGTGAAGGAGCCCGACGTAGCGTCTGAATAATTTCAACCGGCGACAGAGATGACAGCGACAACGGAGGCGGTGGCGGCGACGTCGTCAGTCAACTCAGTAATGACAGCAGTAATAGTGACACAGAAACATTAACTGGAGAAGGAAGTGGACCCGCACCAGCATATATTAAAATAATTAACGATCTTAACGAAAGCGTTCGAGTCAAGTAGCAGAGTGAAAATGATAATATTCTGCGTGACAGTGCTTATGTCATGAAACTTACAGAGAACATTCACCCACGGACCATCCCGAGTTGCTCAGTGATCGAGAGACTGATGACATCACCAGATGTTCCTGACGACGCCAAACGCCAGGTGGGTGTGGCTCTTTACGTCGTAGAGTCACTTATTGACACATTGTGCAAGTGGGACAAGGACAACAATGGGACCACCAGTCCCAGGGAGGAACAACACCAAGACGATGGCTGCTGCTGACACAAGGATCATTAGGTTTCTCAGTTGGAACATTCGTAGCATCAACAAAAGACTGAATGATCTAATTGCACATGTTTCCAGTAACAACCTAGATATAATTGCTTTATAGGAGCCCTACACTTCCAACATGATAAACAAAACCCCACCAAAGATCAGAGGGTATGCATCTTATACTAACAGCAACGCCACAGGCCTACTAACATACATCAGAGGTGATTTACCGCACATTCTTGTGAGCACGTCACACAATGTACACACACAGTACCATCACTTTCATGTACAAACTGCAGCAGGCCACTTCTCATTCCTCAACGTATATGCCAGAAGCCAGAAACTCAATGTAACATTGCTCCCAGATCTAGACAATCATGGGACAATATACATGGGGAGATTTTAATGCTAGACATATTACGCTGGGAGACAGTACTAACAACGATAATGGATGCAAATTTATCAAATATGTTTATGACAA